GGAACTGGGAGGGACTGGTTTGTACTGGTTTGTACTGGTTTATACTGGGAGGGACTGGGAGGGACTGGTTTGTACTGGTTTGTACTGGTTTATACTGGGAGGGACTGGGGTTACTGGTCTGGACTGGTTTATACTGGTTTTGGGGTCGGGTTACTGGTCTGGACTGGTTTTTACTGGGAGGGAACTGGGAGGAACTGGGGTTACTAGTTTGTACTGGTTTATACTGGGAGGGACTGGGGTTACTGGTTTGTACTGGTTCATACTGGTTTTGGGGTCGCGTTACTGGTCTGGACTGGTTTTTACTGGGAGGGAACTGGGAGGAACTGGTTTGGGAATGGGGTTAAAGGCTTATACTGGTTTATAATGGTTTAAACTGGGAGGGACTGGTTTATACTGGTTTGGGGTTTGGGTTACTGGTTTACACTGGTTTATACTGGTTTGGGGGGTGGGGTTACTGGTTTGGACTGGTCTGTACTGGTCCATACTGGTCCATACTGGTCCATACTGTTTTTAATGGTCCATACTGGTTTTTACTGGTCCATACTGGTCCATACTGGTCCATACTGGTTTTTACTGGTCTGTACTGGTGCCCGCAGGACGATCACAAACTGGACGTGAAGGAGCTCGAGATCAAATACGGCACGAGCGTCACCAAGGTGAGAGTGACCACTGAGTGACCACTGAGTGACCACTGAGTGACCACTGACCACTGAGTGACCAATGAGTGACCATGAGTGACCACTGACCAGTGAGTGACCACTGAGTGACCAATGAGTGACCAGAGTGACCATGAGTGACCACTGAGTGACCACGAGTGACCAGTGAGTGACCAATGAGTGACCACTGAGTGACCATGAGTGACCCTGAGTGACCCTGAGTGACCAATGAGTGACCACTGAGTGACCAATGAGTGACCCTGAGTGACCACTGAGTGACCAGAGTGACCAATGAGTGACCACTGAGTGACCAATGAGTGACCCTGAGTGACCACTGAGTGACCTGAGTGACCACTGAGTGACCCTGAGTGACCAATGAGTGACCAATGAGTGACCAATGAGTGACCAATGAGTGACCAATGAGTGACCACTGAGTGACCACTGAGTGACCCTGAGTGACCAATGAGTGACCATGAGTGACCAATGAGTGACCAGAGTGACCAATGAGTGACCAATGAGTGACCAATGAGTGACCAATGAGTGACCAATGAGTGACCCTGAGTGACCTGAGTGACCAATGAGTGACCACGAGTGACCAATGAGTGACCAATGAGTGACCACGAGTGACCAATGAGTGACCACTGAGTGACCCTGAGTGACCACTGAGTGACCAATGAGTGACCAATGAGTGACCACTGAGTGACCCTGAGTGACCCTGAGTGACCACTGAGTGACCACTGAGTGACCCTGAGTGACCACTGAGTGACCACTGAGTGACCACTGAGTGACCACTGAGTGACCAATGAGTGACCACGAGTGACCAATGAGTGACCAC